AACTTTATTTTTTCTGATAGCAACTGTAGTGGTGCTCTAACCAAAAAGAAAGCGTGCCTCTTTTCCAGAAGGCTGCTGCCTTTGATTCCAGCAAGCTGCTTTTTGCCCTTTTCATTTGACGTCAGAGTGTGCCCTGAGTTGAGTTGGCACATGTGCCCATTTCCTTGGCATTCTTGGAAGCCATGCTACCCAGATGCCAGCCTCTGAATGGTCATTTTTCTCCTCTCCCCCTCCAAACACCCAGTTCTCCCCAGGCCCTCTTTCAGAGGAGCTGAATGCTCTGGCCGCTTCCTGGTCGTCTCCTGTCAGGTTGTTCTCTCTCCTTTTCCTGGCTTTCTCCCATGCTGTCTCTGTGATAACGGCTGCAGAGCTCGGCCAGCTGGTGGCTGATTTGCTTTGCTGGGGACCAGCTCCTTGGGGGCGAGGAAAGGGATTCTTGCAATGGAAATGCTTCTTGCATAAAATGCCATTTGGATCACCCTCCCTGAAATTTAAAAACCCAAACCTCCACCTAGAACGTTATCTGCTTCATTTCCAGCAAAATGTAGAGAAACGGGGGAGTGGGGGAGTGAAAGTCAGGGCCAAATGACAGTGGGCATCTTCACACAAGGCTTCAAATGTTTCCCCTCCACACATTGGCCTTACATTGGAGCGTCTTGTGAAACCAGTGCTGGCCTCCGACTCGTTACTCTGCATTAACAATGGCCAATCACTCTTCCAGATACCATTTACAAGACACTCCAATAGCAATAGGGCCATAGCACAGCGGCTGAGCGCTTAATTTCCATGCACTTGGTTCAGTCCTTGTGGAGCAGGAAAAAGCCTGGAGAGTCTCTGCCAATCCTCAGAAGGATGTCATTCAGAATTTGGAAGGTGCATCTAAATGAGGAATGCAAGGGGGAGTGCAAGCTTGCAGAAAGCACATGCAAACAGACACTAAGAGATGCCAACAGGCATTTTGCCGTGCAAGAAATAAAGTATTATTTAGGCATATCAGACTCAGGAAACTTGCTAAGGGAGGCACTTGGATGGCAGTGTAGTTAAAAGATAAGGAGGTTATCCCGCTAAAGAGGTTAAGGAGATTGTGAAGAAGCTGTGTAAACTCTTTTCATCTCTCTTGACTGCAGAAGATACGGAACAGATACCTCTGCCTGAAGTGATCTTTTCAGGAAGGGCGTCTGTGCAACTGAGCTGAACAGTGGTGACAAATTATGAAGTTCTCAACCTTATTGCCAAACTGAGAGTTAATAAAACACCAGGCCCAGATAGTGTTCATCCTAGAGTTCTTAACTCAAATATGAAATTGCTGACCTTCTAACAAAATTATGTAACATGTCCCAAAGATCAGCCTCTGTACCAGTGGACTGGAGAATGAGCAATATAATACCAATTTTTTAAAAAGGGATCTAGGAAGGATCTGAGAGGTTATAGGCCTGTTAGCTTCATGTCTATATTGGGCAAATTGGTTGAGAGCATTATTAAATACGCATATTTAAGCATTCAGAAGGACAGGCCCTGCTGGAAAAGAATCACCATGGCGTCTACAAAGGAAAGTTCTTTCTTGTTAACCTTTTAGAGTCCTCTGAGAATGTCAAGAAACAAGTGGACAGGGCTGAACCAAGTTATGTTCTTTACTTAAACTTCCAAAAGCCTTGTGGCAGAGTCCCTCTCCAGATCCGCTACTGTTGTCTCTCATTCGGCCCTTGATCAAGAGGGGACAACCATAAGGCCCAGCTGATACCCATATGGGCAAAGCTTTCACTAGAATGTGGCTCTCAGTGGCACCAAGATTCTGCAGCATGCATCAAGTTGCCAGGCAGTGCTCAGACAATGACTGGATGAGGCCAGGGCTTCCTTGAGTGCTGCAGATCAAGGCCACCTCTAGAATGCAACTCTGTTTGCTAGCAATAGTTTGGTTGAAATGCTGGGTAAAACTGTGCTTCTCTGTGTGTTCTTTCTGGAGGATGGGTCCTCCACTACACTCTTCCAGATGCACGCAGCCCAAGCACGCCATTGTGACCTCCAGCTAGCCTATAGCAACTTGATTTCCTGTGTTGCTAACATCTCTTCATTGCAAGCTGTTGTAACATGCTGGTAACAATAACATTTCTGCAATCTAAATGGCTTGGAGGACAATAAAACCAAAATCAACCAATGCATGAGAAAAACAAATCAGGGAAAGATATTGTTCCTGACCGTGTTCCAAGAAATGCTTGGCATTCCCAATGTCCTTTGCTCCACTTCCAGGAAAAAAAATATTCCCGAATATTCGTGTTAATTTGTTTAAAGCTGGTTTGTATTGATAAACACAGTATTTCTGTGTTGGATCGGTTTCTCAGGTGCCCTTACACAGCTGTCCTGAGGAAGGGGGCTGGTCCTCTCTCCCCACTAGCATCTAGGTCATTTTGGCAAAACTCATAGAGTTAACAAGTTAAACAGGACCAGCTGAAGCTTTTCTTCTAAACCAACCTGAGGGTAAAGGAGTCTCATTCGCTTTGTGAATTCACTATTCACAATCAACTTTGTGAATAGTTGTGCACAGCAAAGGAAAGAAATAGACGTTGTTTTCATCAAATACTTTCATTTCAGCTTTCTTTTTCAAAAAATACAGCTACACAATCATTCAAAAGCAAGCAGAGTATTATTTTTACTTGCATCTTAAACTCAACTTCATCTTTGCTTATTTGTGAAGGCTTGTTATTTTCATTCTGGCTTGCGGTTTGCTTCCATCTCTCTAACATGATGTGTAATTCCAAACAATACTCTTGTTTTTATGTTATGGCAAACATTTGAATGAACAGCTGATTCCCTTTCTGGATTTTGTCTTTTTAAAAAAGTTTGTTCTGCAGCTGTGGCTGCAATAGGGAAGGTAAGAGAGGAAAGAGCAGGAAGGCTGCAACCTGAAACATTCTTGCTTCACTGGAACCACAACCTATAAGGACTGCAGCCAAGATGGTCATAACTTTGGTAGAAAAGTGGATGGAGGACACATTGTTCCAGGAAGCAGAAAAGAACTGCTCATGGGCTTCCAAAAGGCATCTTGTTGGCCCCTGTGGAGTCTGATCCAGAGGAGCAATCCTTATGCTCTTAAACTCATGCAGCTTTTAAGCTCCTTGAGGCAGAGATGAGCCTGTCAATATTTTTAGTTTACGAAACTCTGGAAAGCACCTTTGGCTAATTATCCAGTCTAGCGCATCATCAGTATTTATTTATTTAGCAAGATTCTATGCCGACCCATTCGCCAAAGCCTCAGGGCGGCTCCCAACAATAAATAAATACACATTAACCATATCAAACAATATAATTGGAGACGTTCTGGCCAAAGATATAAAATCAATAAATAATGTTAACAATTAAAATGACATTTAAATAAAAAGGTCTTGGCCTGGTGCCGAAAAACAAATAACGATGGCGCCAGGCGGACCTCTCTGGGGAGTGCATTCCATAGGTGGGGCGCCACCGCAGAGAAGGCCCTCCCCCGGGTACTTACCCTCCTAATGTCCTTCACGAAGGGTTCCTGGAGAAGGGCCCCTCACGCTGGTCTCAAGGGGCAGGAGGGCACATATGGACGTATGCGCTCCTTTAGGTAACCAGGACCCAAGCCGTGGAGCTTTCAAGCACATCTTCTCATTAACCAATGCAGTGGCCGTGTACAGTATGCCAGCAGACACAGGGTGCTGAGGAAGGTGTGGCTTTCTCTAGTGAGTTTCTGGCTACGTTTAAATTTGGACTGTGGACTTCCCCTGGCGATGATGGCAAATCAGAGCTTCCTCTTCCCTTAGCCTGGATTTTAATATAACAGTGTATTTTAGGGAGAAAAATGCCCGGTGCCATTCACAGGACACACTCGGTCATAGTACTAGAATAAAGTTTGCTGGGGCCAGTGCTTCAAAAAGCAAAGATATTCAGTGTTTTTAATCAGCTGAATGCTTCCACCACGGAGCAATGTAGCTGACCGACCTTTGGGACCTGCTGAAAAGGAACTGTAAAGATGTGTGCACATACCTTGACATGCAGGACTTGTGCCAAATCTAGTCTTTGCAAGGCTTTGCTTTTAGTGGCATGGTTCGGTACCTCGCTGAGTAATCCAGCTTCTGCTTTTGGGGCCTTTGGCCAATTCGGCTGAGAAGAGTCCCATAAACGTATCAAATAAATGTAAATAAATTTTATTTTTCTATATATTTGTGGATTAATCTGATGAGAGGCATGGAAATCATCCCATCTATTTTCTTAATTTTTACATAATGCCCACTGACTGCAGGCACTTTGAATAAGAAGCATTAAGAGTGCAATTCAATGAGGCAGCTGAACCTGAAGGATTATGAGCTTGTTGCATTGGGTGGAAGCCGCCATGAGATGAAAATTTATTTATAAAATGTGTACGCCGTCCAATTTCTAATGTCTCTGGACAGCTAACAGCATAAATAAATTGACGACTCACTCTGTCTGCAATTAATAAAATACAATAATAAAATTCGATGTTAAAACTTATTAAAATATTGATTAACTAAGAAGGTCTTAACCTGTTGTCGAAAAACATATAATGACGGCGCCAGGCGGACCTCTCTGGGGAGCGCGTTCCACAGTCGGAATTGCCCTGGACACCTTTGAATCTCACAAAGGTCATCTACATGCCATGCTTTGGAGCAGGAGATAGGGAGGCTGAGGGATGGACAAGATGGCAGCTGTGTCTTGGTGGGTCTGGTCCCACGCACCCACCCACTGGAAAAGCCCTTCTCCCAGGTTACTATTACGACTTAAGAAACTCAGCCTGTGTTCTGGAAGGCAGAGAGGGGGAACCACGTGATTTGCCAACCTTGTGGCTAGAAGTCTGTCCAAAGGCCCTTTCACCCACAGGTGGCCCTCTAGGAAAGTTCTCCCAGCTTTTCTAGACCTACATTTTAGAGACGGTTTCCTCTAGCTCAGGTTTCCGATGGATAAGGAGAAAAGCGGCCCACCCAACACAGGCTCTAATGTCTGTGCTTCCTTTCTCTACACAGAGACCCCTGGAAAAGCCTGACGGCCTGGATGTTTCCGATCAGAGCAAAGAGCACCCTCAGCATCTCTGCGAGAAGTGCAAAGTCCTTGGCTACTACTGCCGCCGTGTGCAATAAACACCGACAGGGATTGCCGCTGCCACCCCAGCTGGGGGTCCTCCAGCCGCACGTGGCAGTCAGAAGGAAGTGGGGAGAAGACACCAGCCAAGAACCCAGTGTGTCACCAGTATCGCCTATCCATAAACTAATAATATGCCTTACCTTTAATAGAATGTAACCCTTCTCCTGTATATGTGTATATATGCAGGTTGTATTTATAGGACTATGGTGTGTTTTGATATATATATGTGAAGCAGAAGTGACTGATGTAGGGCACAAATCACCAAGCACTGTTTCCACACGGGCCGCCGGTCTCTCTTCGGGCTTTGCACGGCCACCGGCGCAAGACAGGTGCAGGCTGTGGGGCAGGTCTTGCTGGACTGCGCCTTTCATGCTCAAGATGGAGTCACGAAGGCGGTTTCTGTTGATTGTTTACACAGTTCCAGTATCCTGCCCAGGTGAAGCAGTCGTGTTTGTCGAGAGAGGTATATAATGTCACGGAGATACAGACGGATGCTATTAATGGTTTCTGTAGACAGTAGATAGAGTGGACAGTAAGTTCAAAGAGTGTTCTAGTCAATGCCACAAGCAATATATTTTTCTAAGGCAAGGAGGGCTTGAGGTAGAAAAAGATTTAAGGAGGGGTGGGGGGTGTCCATTTTTCTTACCTTCAGGGTTGGTCTGAGTGTTCCTTTGAATTGCTTGCTTTCCTAGAATGTTCCAGAGCCACTGAAATTAGGCTTTTGGTAGGCTCTCGTTTAATCGAATCCGATGGTGATAAAGAACAAGTGGAAGAAATGTTTGCGGGAGTGATTTGCATGGGAAGGTCATGGTAGAACAGGAAGGATCAATCAGGAATCATCTTTCTTAGGCAGCAATTGTAAGCATGTTTACTTAGACGTAAGTGCCACTGAAACCCAAAGGTCTACATTTGAGTAAGTGCACTTTGGATACACTTATTTTTGCAACAAGTTGTTGACCAATGCTGTTCTCTTGTCGCAATGACTTTAGCTTTTCTCCATGTACTTGCTATGCAAGTGGTGACTACGATTCTTACCACCATTCAACCCTATCCCTAACCAGCTCTTGTAGGTAGCCAGCAGGATAAATGCTGCTTCTTTCTCATCGTGGATGGAAAGTCCGGCGTGGGACTGGGACTGAGGAGGCCTGGATTCTAGTCCCCACTAAGCCACAAGCTCGCTGGGTGATTTCGGGCTAGTCACGGATGACTCTCAGCCTCACCTACCTCACAGTGAGGAGGAAATGGGGAGGAGGAGAGCCATGCATTGGGGCCCTCAGAGGAAATACATGGGATATAAATGTTTCAGGATTCACAGCCAGACCCTCATTCTCATACGTGCAGTTTGGCCTTCACTGCCATAGAGAGCAGAGACTTGCTGCTTTCTCCTACAGTGGCACGGACTTCACCAGCGGTGGGCCAGCAATTCAGCAGTCCCACCATCAGTTCATACAGGTGGGAGAGGTGAAATGCACATACTTTCCACTATCTAAAGACACACTGTAGCTCCTGATCAGGAAATTCTATTGCAGGCTTCCATTTCGGTAGCTCCAGAGCAGTATCTGAGTTGTCCTCAAGCCACATAGTGGTATGTGCGGCCAGTGATGAGTGAGGGCAAGGATAGGCACTGCGTATTGGCCCGACGTTATGACATTCTGGAGGGGCATTTCGATGTTGCAAAGATCATGCCCACCCTGCAGGGCTCTCTGGAATGGAGAGGGCATTGTTGAAAGGTGGTGCTCACCACAAAAAGCATCCGTCACAAGCCAGGTCAACACCAGTCGGCCATTATTTTCTGGCTGTGGTAGGAAGGCCTTCCGTAGGATTTGGCTGGAACTAACCAAAGTGCCCCAGACAGTTCACTCAGTGCATGGGGTTCCTCTGTGGCAGAGTCTTTGCTGGTCTGCACATGGGCTGTTGCGTCTGAATTGGCCTTGAGCATAGAACAGCGGAAAAGCGACGCAGACCTCATGACTTGCCGGCAGCTGTGATTTTCTTCTTTTCAGAAGTTTGCAGCAATTGCTGTTTGCCCCCAGAGGTTAGACTCAAAGCTCCTCCTCAAGGCACACTGTACTGTAACTGATGAGAAGGCAGCAGCCACCCAAACAATGTTGCCCAGTTTCCAGAGGATTGCGCCATCGCTGGAGAAAGATGCCCCAGTGCAGCCGCTAGGACCAGCGTGGGCAAAGGCAAATTCACTGTGAATAATGGGGGAATTGCTCCCCAAACCTTAGCTGAAAAATTGTATTCGCCCTCCTTATGTCCCCTAGATTCAATGACACTTCCATGGAGCATCTGTCAAGTCTGGCTGGTAATAATTTCCTCTTAAATATACATCTAGGTAGCCGTAAGGATTTCATAGGAAAGAAAATTACTCTACAAAGCCTTCCCTTTTCCCTCTTTCTGGACGGGACTGTATAGTTTAAGGGAACTGTAATACTTGCCCTGATTCTTTTAAGAGCATTTTGAAGCATAAACAAATATATTATTGGACTGGCTCTGAATAATTCTAAGAAACCAATTTTTATTTCTGTATTCTGTATTAATTTAAGATCAAGCAGGACTGAAGTGCTTCTGTTGGACTGACAGGTGGGATGCCATTTCAGATATGCTTCATTTAAGATGAACTTAATGTGAACTTTAGGGTCTAACATTCCTGGCAAAATGGGGTCCTTTTTACGTCAAATCGTTTCAGGATGATGCCAGGACCCTACAAAGAATGATGCTGTACAATGAACTGCAAGCATAAAACATGCCATAATTGTCTCAATCAGCAATAACAATGAAGAGGTGTTCACTAGGATAACATTGATGCCATTGGGATTTGTTTGAATTAGGACCTGATAAGCCAAAGTGTTGCAGGAAAGGGAAATATTTGGCTGCCCCATTTATCACTGACCCCATCCTAGAAGTCCAGCCTCCTCTTATTCATACACATAAGAAGGTGCCTTTCATCAAAAAAGACCGGCAGTAGATTCCAGAGTCTCAAGTATTGGAAAGGTCATCAGACTGGGGAAGACCAGGATCTGTTCTCTGTCTCCCAGAGTGCAGGACACAGAATAACAGCTCAAGTTACAGGACAGAACAACAGATTCTGGCTGGGCATCAGGAGGAACTTCCTGACATCCAGAGCAGTGCAGCAAGGGAATCAATGACCCAGGGAGGCGGTGGGCTCTCCAGCACTGGAGGTGTTCAAGAGGCAGCTTGGAGGGCCCTTCGCGAGGGATGCTTTAACCTGGAGCTTTGTATTGACCATGGGGTTGGACCCAATGGCCCTCTGCCCCCTTCCAACACTGCTATTCTATCATTCTATGAGATATTTTTTATCACTGTTGAAAGGAATGGAACCAATTCTGGTAAGTGGGACTGAAGATGGCCGTTTTTAAGAGTTGAGAGTGTTATGGGAGAGGCATCTTCTACTGTGTACACAAATGTGTGGTTGGTTGTCTGCACAGGTCTTACTGGCCACACTGGTGTTCAAGACACTGTAAAATTAGGGGGGAAATGAGCACACACTGGGCAACAAAGCCTCTCTGAGGATATTGAAAATTGTGTGCCTCCAGTCATGACACCCTATGAGAGAGCTGGAAAGGATCAGACTTCAGTCGAGCAGCCAGCCAAATCCAACCTGTCTGCATCACAGTTTTTAGCAGAAAGCACACTTCTTTGTATGTGTGTTCACAGAAACCATGTTGCCATACTGTTCTCAACATGGCAGAACATCACCCCCAAAATGCATACATTTCTTTTGTTTTCCTAACGTTCATTAAGTAGACAAGTATTACATGGGTTGCAGACAGTCTAAATTTTTACAAAAGATCTATGGAAATTGTCATACATTAATTGAAATAGTTGAATCAAATAGTTCAAATTCAATAGCTAGCATGATCTAGCAGTAAAGGGTGAGTGGAGCTCAGGACCTGGATCCTTTGAAGATCCTGTTAAATACCTGAGCAAGTCATTACGAAATGTGTGTTTCCTCAATCACTGTGAGAATTGGGGGTTCTAATTCTTCTTCAACTGAAGTTTAGGTGTTTAAATTCAAATGGAGTTTCTTGACATGGTTAGATAAAAAGCATGACCTGCTTAATGACCACTGGAAGTCAATAAGTTGGACCCCACTTTAGACATGCTTAGAGAAGACCTCCAACTAACTGAATTCCCATTGATATCAATGGGCCTACTATATGACTAAGAGATGTTCAAACCCATTGTAACTACCAGAACAAGGGATCCCACCTTCAAACCTTGTTTACGTGCGCATTTATCCTGGAATAACAAGCCCTGAACTTTCTGTGCTTTGTTTACATGAACAAGGAGTTCTCTGAGGCAGAAAGTAAGGATGAAAGACAGTATTAAATTGCAGTAAAGAAATAATGCGAGCTCCTGGATTATTAGAGGATATTGAGTCACTTTCCGTTTCATTGCCAGATCAGCAACTGAAAAGAAAGGCATGGCTGTTACGTTGGGCATGCAGAGGTAGGCAATGGCTCTTGAAAACTTGGACTTTGACGTGAATTACGTTTCATTCTTGGGAGGAGGAAATGAGTACGCTAAGGCATAGGCATAGTATCACTCCTTGAGCACTTAAGAATGTTTGCAATAATCACTCTGATTCTAGAAAACTAATTGGAAAAATGAAGAAATCTGTAAGAGTATAACTGGGAGAAGTGGTCCCCATATTCTTCTATAGAACCCTGCATATAGCAATCGATCTCTCTTTAAAAAAAAACAAAACTAGTCGCTGAATAACTCTTTAGTGACATTACAGTACAACCTCTTACAAATAATGCCAAAAACGGTTTGCCAACAAGACAGCTAGAAGATCTGGAAGTTATTTTATCGACGTGTGTTCAAAATCAGGGTCACTTTGCACACTTCATTTCATAGATGAGGCAGTAAATTTATACAGCTCCATATATAGGGACAGAGTCTGGTGTCCAAGGAACGCCTTGTGTACCTCTGCAGTGTTTCTAATCGTGCGTACAAAGACCTTCACGGTTTTGATTTCTGACCTGCAAAGACGTGTGTCATGTTGGATGGCCACTTTGGTGCTTTTCAGAGGGCTGTTGGAGGAAGGTTCCCGGTGCCCCCAAAAAGTCCTAGTGGTGCTTCTTGGCAGTTCATGCACAGCCATTGAAATCCTGGGTGTCTGACAGCTCTTGGAGATGTGTTATCAGTTACTTTTATTTAGACAGAGAAAGAACCTTGGGTTTCCAGGAGATGGGCCTATGGCAGAATTCTTCCATGCCATGGCATCATGCAGCACAGTTTATTTCCTTTACTGAGATGCATGCAAGAAAACTTCCATGCAGCCCAGAACCCAACCTGCCAAGTACTGCCCCTTCTGTAACCCCACTTTGCATTCAGCCTTTTTGAGCCTAATTACGCTTACTTGGAAGTTCCCGTGAAATTAAAATGTGATTTCTGAAGAATCGGATTAGGGTATTATGATTGTTTCAGTATAGAATAGCCTATGCTAAAGATGCTATTAATATGCATAAAAAGGTCAAAGTGAAGTACTTTTCAGTCCCATTTATTGAAATGGCAGAGCTAAGCACATAAGGGGATGGAACTAAGTTCATAATATACGCTTTCCATATGTAAGATTCCAGGATAAATTCCTGGCATCCTCACTTTGAAGAGGTTTTTGGATGGAACCTGTACCAAACACCTTGGTGGGCCCGTCTGAGTGATTATGTTGGTCTCATACTCTGATTCTGAATGTGGCATCTCCCAATACCTGCTGAAATCAATGGGAATGCAAAGTATTTTCATTCTGGCTGGATTGTACCCAGTACATCCTTCAAGTCTGTATTTAGGCTTCTGTGGGTAATGCAAGAAGTCATCCACATGGAAACCTTGATAAACTTTAAGCTTGGGTTAAACTTGGGTTCTAATTCAGACTTGCTGGCTTGGGCCACACCCTGTCATCCTTCAAGGCAGTATTGGACCCCTTGCCAGCGCTTCCGTGCCATTTGTTTTATGTCTATAAAAACCACTGCCTCTGGAAATAATGTCGAATGACTGTAGCACTCAGTTCGCCGACTGAAATCATAGCTATACAAATGAAGGATTGAATTTTCTTAGGATGAATATCAAAGGGACAATCGTGTGCAGTTAATAAATGTAATCCATATTAATGTTTACCCCGCTATGAAGTATTTTACAGTTTTACTTGCAAATGTGTATTTATCTTGAGTTATACTTGATATAGAGCTCCTTTCCATTTGTTTTGGTTTTGTTTCTTGTTTTTTTTAATACTGTGTGTGTATTTTGGAAAATCTTTTTAGGTGTTTAAAATTTTTGAATGGTTACAAATATTTCTTTGTAATACTGAATTGTTATCTGGAAACTCTTTGCAGTAACCTTTTTTGTATATATTTGAAGGCCTTTTTAAAAAATGCTATTGTTTGTGCTTGTTTGGGTTTTTTAAAAGTGTTTTTACAACTCTTTTTTCAAGTTTTCAAAAAGGGCCTTGGTTGTCTACTTAGAATACTAACAGAGCTAAGAGTTTTCTTAAGTATTATACAAAATTAAGGGTGTATCCTCAAGAAAATATTTATGGAAGGAATTTGCTTTTTCTTTTGGTTTGTTTGTTTTTTTACAATGCTTTTGTCTGTATAAAGTATGCAACAGAACTACATTATGAAGGAAATATTGTCTACATAAAATATTATATGAAAGTTGGTACATAATTCTGACAAGAAGAAAAAACCTTGCAATTCTCTAAGCCATATTGTTGTTGTTTTTGTTTTCCTTTGGATGAAAATATCAGTATTAAGTAACCAGTATATTATTCAGGTGTTTAGAACTTATATTATGCTTATTCAATTTATTTATATCTGTACTTTGGAAAGTACTGCCTTTTTAGAGAAGCTATGACTGACTTGGTAAGAAGCTATGCTTATCACTTTATGTCCTTTAGGAAGACACACTAATGGTCCAGCCCTGAGATGTAAGCTTATGACGGGGCTGTAGTATTTGCTACATCAGCACAGGCGTATCGCTGCAAAAGCATTACTCTGAGGATGTCTTCTCGTGCTATAACATGTTTAGGTGTAGCCCAAAGTGTTTTTTAACTTATGCCTAAAAATGGAAAGACTCAATGTGACAAACCAGTATTCGAAACCCTGCACGGCATCGAGATTCACCGGTTAGACGGCTGAATTGGTTGTGGAGTGAATTTTCCGTGAGAACTCTGGGTTTGTTGCTGTGGGCTGTGTGAAATGGTTGGAAGGATCATTGTTGGTTTTCAGGAATTCTGCAGCTTGGTTCTATGATGATGAGTTTACTTGGTCCCTTCGGGGACGGTGGGGAAGGCACTGTTTTACCAAGCGATGCTCACGGCAGTTTTGAAAGACACCACGCTCAACTCTGCAATGCTATGCTAGTGTTGACGCAATGCAGTCAGTCGGTGGCCGTAACCAAGAGGGGTTCAATAGATGTATGCAGTTTGTGTTTATTTTTATTTAGAATGCATAACACGATACAATATGCATGTGCACATATTATACGCATCTTACGCTTTATGGTTTCACGTATCTCATTAAGATTGCTTTGTTTGTTTTCTAAACGATGCTAAAATTCAATCCTGTACTGGACTGTTATTTCCCTTATAAAGGTTATTTAGAGCAGCATTCACTACATTGTATAAAACTAATTCTGATCATATTAATTTCTGCAGATTTAGATTAGTTTAAAGTACTTATGAACTTTAAAAAAAGCCTAGCTGTACTCACTGACTTCTTCTCAGTTTCAGTTGTATAATTTTTTCTCTTCTGTAACTGACAGTTAACTTGTACAGCTTTAAAAATAATGATAACCTTTCTATGGACATGGGCTGCAGGGTGGGGGGCAGGCTTTTCTCAGCCACCAAGATGTCAACTGGGGAACTGGGTGTTTAAAAGACTGTCAAACCTCTGCTGTGGATTGTCCATAAAATGGCATTCCGACACGTGCCTTATTTGCTGAATAGTATATGGCTTGCCTTTAGTATTATCACAGTTTAATGCTGTATTAAAATTCTGCAAAAAGAAAGAATGAATGGTGTTCTCTCTTTGCTTTTCATTGTATGTGTGGGGACCATACAGGAATCAAGACCAGGAGTATGGGTTCTGGAGTGTGTCCTGATGGGGAGCCAAGGTGGGCTGGGGTGGAGCATCTTTTGAAGTCGGGATGCAGGAATATGTGGAGTAATGAAAGTTGATCCGTACTTGGCTTAGCTACTCTGGGGCTTTGTACGGACTACCAAACGCAGCAGCGGATTCTGCACGCCCGTTTCCTTCTATGCCCGAAGACGTCTTGGATGACTTACTGTACCTGTTTCCAGCCTCACATGCAGGCGTCCCTGTCCTTGAGGGTATGCCAGGTGCCTGGGGTGAGCAGTAGGACTGAGAAAATAATCCTAAAGGCTAAAACAAGCATGACTTGAAATGTGTGCATAGGAGCAACATTTCTCCTGCATTTTTTGCTCTAGAGTAAGCAAGGGGGCAATCCAGATCTTAATAGCCTCTTGATCCCTGATGCTACAGTCTGGAGAGCCAGTGTGGCGTAGTGGTTAAGAGCGTGGGGCTGGGACTCAGACGACCTGGGTTCGAGTCCCCGCTCGGCCATGGAGCCAACTGGGTGACCTTGGGCCAGTCACAGGCTCTCAGCCCAACCTACCTCACAGGGTTGTTGTTGTGGGGATAAGATGGAGGAGGAGAATGATGTAAGCTGCCTTGAGCCCTTCATAGGAAAAAGGCAGGATATAAATCGGGGAAAAAAAATCTCTTTCTGAATTAGGGGGCCTGCATCTATTGCAGAGTACAAATTGGGTGGAGGGGAAAGGCAGCTGCTAAATACATTTCAACAAATGTCTGTTTTGGCCCTAAGGTTGGAAGGAGTCAGAAGGGAAGAGGGAGAAGGCGATTTCCAGTCCCAGACCTATTCTCGCATTTCTTAGAATTAAAGCTGTTGTGAAGACATGAATTAACCATTGTACCTCCCCAGATTTAGGGAAAGAAATTTGAATGGCTTCCATGGACAGGGTATTTCCAGGACAATCCTAGGTGTTTGGTAGGACTCACTCCCACGTAGTGATGTGTCTGAGTGCATCATGATTGCTTAAATATTCCTATGTTTAGGAAGGATTTCTAACCCGAACCCAAACTCTTAGCCAAGATAGGTATGAAGTGAACCTTCCTTCGTCCCCTCCCTAGAATGGCAAACAGCTGATCATGTTCTCCATTGGACAAAAGCAACTATGACGCATGGAGCCTGTGGTCATAAGCCTCCTTTCAGCTGCTGTCCTGGCTCACCAAAGAGAGACCTTCTCTGTTCTAGATTTTCTTCTGTGTGTGGCCACTCCAGAACTTGCATAGCGCCAACCTGCAACAACTGCTCCTGCTGTGCAAAGTTTTGGTGGAACGGCTCTGGAACCTCAGCACCCACAGAGCCTTCTGTTCCAGGCTTCCAGATCAATTCTCAGGCTCTCTCATTGCAATAGGCCTTTCAGTAGCTGGGCCAGGTCTTTCATGTCTGAGGGTACCACTCTCTGAACAACAAGATTGGCTGAACTCTCAGTCAACTCCTATCCAAACAATAAATGGATCAATGCTGGCTATGAACATCTATGACATCCGAAGAAGAGGCACAGAAACTTCATCTTGGGTTTTTACTACATGCTAGGCCAGTGGCCTGCCCTTGGATTATAACCTGCTTCACTTCCAGGGATGGCTGATCTTAGCAGAACAACAAAGAGGAAAAGTTAATCTAAACCACATTTTTAACTGACTCAGAGGACAAACCATATGGCATATTCTCCTCCTGATCCTGTCATTTCCCTGTCTCCCATCAAAACCATTCTCCATGTGCTTTTGTGCTGCTCGGTGCCGGAGGGAAAAGAGTGGAGATGCGAGTAAACTTGAAAAGTTTGTCCCAAGTGATGTATTTCTTTCCAGAAAGCTTGCTTGCCTGAGACATGGCTGGGACTTAATATAATAGGCAAAGTTTAGGAAGATTTGGTGCTTGGGTGCCTTTAACCTGGGCTTGAATTAATTTATAATTAGTTGGTGCACTTGGGTGACAACCTGGCTTTGGAAACATGCAGTTATGCCAAGAGCTTGCAATACATTGTTTAAACACCAAAACATAGAAACTGAGTCAGAAGGGGCCTCCCAGGCCATCTAGTCTGACTCCCGGCTCCAGCTGGTTCTGCTCATGGAATTCCCAGCAAAAGCAAAAAGCTACAGTTTTGGAGAGCTGCAGCTGGCATGGCAGAGGCATCCTTGCCTGCAGCATTCTTATACATTCCTTTTTCTGCACAGTCGTCCCTGTCTAAACAAGGTTTCCCAGGCTTTGGAAATGCTTCAGGGATGATGAAAAAAGATTCCGACTCCATCTGTGTTGTTGTATCACCATCCCAAAAGTGTTGCATTGCACCTGGGAAGGGGCTGCAGGCTAACTCACTGATCACAGGATTTACCTGCTGAATTCAAATTCAACACTTGCAGCTTACAAAGATTCCATGCAGCAAGACAAAGATTTTGACAAAGCTGAGATTTTGGGTAAGCTGCTTCCAAGGCAGATGGAGAAGTAATTGTACAAGCAGCTTTCTATTTTTCCTTTGCAACATGTTCAGCCATTATAATTAGGATCGCTACCTGAGCAAAGAAATTTTAATTTGTATCATATGAAATCAAAACATTCATCTCTTGACTGCCCTCGTACACATTTATGCAAATATAAAAATAATATTTTATAAGCATACCTTCCTTATTTTTAGATGAGGCACATGTGTGCCGCAATAGTTCAAGAAGTTTATCGTGTGTGAAATAAATTCATCGATAAAACACTTGACTGAAGAAAAATAACTCACAGACAAACCAAACCAGCTGCATGAACATGTTGGTGCAGGATGCTGGTACCTATCCCAAATCTATCACGAGCTATAGCTATAAATAGATACATACCTCTTGATGCCACTACATACACTGGTGCACACTTGGACTGAAAAAAGGCCTACAGGCTGGCTAAGAAATGCTGGGAGTTGTAGGGAATTTTCCTCTGTAAATAGGCATGGGATTTATTTTAATTTAACTAAATTAAATTTAGTTAACTAACTAAACCTGAGCTTAAGCCTTAGTGATACAGATCCAAAACGATGTTCCAAGTTTTGGATCATTCCTAAGCGCATAGAAGAATGTCTCTGGAAGCCTGAAGCCAATTAAGCTGGCAAAATTAGGGCTTGAAATTCAGTTAAGAGCCCACTGAATCTACGGTTTTGCTGCCTCTTATCTTTGCCCATTTCCTCCACAGGGAAGAGAAATACCAGTCAGAATCAGAGAACATTGAGCTGTAAGCAGATCCATGTGGAAATGCTTATACAGTGACCTCAACCAAGAAGGAGACCGAGCGAACGGGTCCTTTGCTCATTTGTTCTTCTTCTACACCACAGAATCCCGAAGGGAACGTGGAAGCAGCAGGCTCATGCCTGCACCTGGGCACTTCGGGGCTCCACTACTTTTTCCGCTTATTATGTCTTGCTGACTTCATACTACTCTGAAGTGCCTGGCAGATTTAGACAAAAGGAAAAGGGATAGCAGACCTTTCCGCTGCCTAAACTTGCACAAGACTATGCCGTAAGTGCCTCCCCCAAACCAGCCCCCAGGTCTCTAGAGCGCCTTCTGGTCTGCTTAATGTTTTCTTTGTAAAACACTGCACCGGCTGTGTACCGACATTTTTCATTCTACCTTTTTTAAACATTAAAATAAAATTAACATCCTATAATAGATGCGTCTGTACTGTGGCTCAGCTGGGGATGAAGGAAGCGGTCCTTTTCCTGCCTTGTCTGTGTGTGGTATATATGCTCTTTCCTTACTCCATTCTGTTGTTTCTACATCCATCTGCTCTTTAAATGAAATCAGCACAAAAGTTCATATTGAAATAAGGATTTTGAATGGATTTCCTCATAATGGATGCGTTTCTAAATGCATTTTATCCTAAATGCATTTATCCTAAATCATTTATTGTAAGCCGTCCCGAGTTGTTTGCAGGGGAAAGAATAGAAAAGCTTTTAAGACATAAAATAAATGCACCCTTGTGTGTGTGTTTTGGTGCACTTGTGGAGCCGAGGACAGCTGATTAAAAGAAAAGAAAAGTCTGAAGATTTACTGTGTTTCGATCCGCCAGGAAGTGCAAACTAAGTTGTTTCATCTTGAAATCTGAACTAAATGAAATCCTTGATAATCTTTAGGCTGGGAAGTGGGAAATTTTAGAATTTTACACCATTGACAGTTCTGCGGAGCAGAACTTCCTTCAAAATAGAAATTGCCCAGGGTTTTTTTTTCTGCTGCTGTATTTTTCTGCAGAAGATTTTCTGAAAATGCATGACAGGGCTACAGATTATAGACTTGGGTGGTTTGGTTTCAGAGTATTGCAAAAATGCCCTTGGTCTTTTTCCCGAAGGGTCTCAGTTATCAGAAAAAATGGAAGCAACACCCAGTAGAGACTTAAACCATTGATTTTTGCATGGGAAACAGTTCAGCAGCATGGCTCATGCCCAAAAGCAGGGCTGACCAAAAACAAAGGTTTGGGCATGATCTTGATAGATTACAGATTGGCAAGCAGTTCAGACCGCATGTGTCTGGGTGTTCTCCAGTTCCAGATCGGCCAGTCCTGGCCTCCCACTTCATGGGACCTTTAGAGAGTCATTAGTGAGGTCTTGTAGCTGGGCATTTTGCTAGCTTTCTCTAAGAATTGTTTCTTGTGACATTGTTGGGGTCTTTCTAGATGTCTCCCAGACCTAGCTTGTGGTTAGAGCTAGTGAAGCTTTTCTGATAAGCATTTCCCCTTCACATGTGCGGTTATGCCACTTTCCAAGCATCTGGGTGTCTTGATTTAGCTTCTAACTGACTAGATGATCTGCAGCCCTAGACATGTAAAGCTTTCTCTGATTAATTGATCTACAGCTTCAAACACACAGAGCCTCAATCAGGAGCTGCTGCCAGCAGCCCCAAAGCTATTGTGAAGGCTACCCAGAGGCCTTTGGCCCATGGCCT